TCAACAGGCAGGGAAGGATCCTCTCCAGCCAACTCTGCAGGGAAGCAGTGGCTCTCTGGGAATGGTCCATAGTGCATCATAATTATCCTGTGGCTCCCTGTCTGGCAGGACATGACAATATCCAAAACAGACAAAAGCCCAGCTGAGCAGGAATCAGCCGGACCAACATAAATGGTCATTGAAGGATTCGGTGGGACTCTGACTGCCTGTCACAGGATGACTGCCCCTTTAAGGGGAGATGGGGCCAGCCACATCTGTGCCATAATGAATTAGCTGTTTCCCAGCCTGAGGGGGTGGGCCTGAGGAGAGGCAGGTGATAACCTGATGGACAGCTGGGCCAGGTGAGGGCAACGTGGCTGTTGGAAAGGCTGGCTTGCTCACGTGTTCCTCTGGAAGGCCCTGAGCCAGGGTCTGAGCAGAAAGGGTACACCGGGGAAACCGCTTGGGGCTAGAGCTCTAGCCCAGAGCGGGGAAAGACAGAGACTGTCAAAGGTAGCACAGGAAGGGCTGGGAATAGTGCCCAGAAAGTGGGCTGAAAGAACCTTTCTTTTTTGGAGATTTCTTGTGTTGTGCCTTGGCTGGAGGGTGAAGACCTCTCCAGAAATGCCTAGTGTGTGGACAGCTGAGACGACACATTTTGGGGAGCGCCTGCAGTGCAATATTTGGCCAGCAGGGGGTGTTACAGCATGGCCATATCCACTTACACTGCCCCTGCACTTGGCAGCTCTAATCCAGTTCAAAAAGCAATCGGCTCGTTCCTACTATCCCTGCAAATTAAATAAATTCTCCCTTTGGACAGCTATCAATAATATGGTTTAATCTGTGGCTTCTATTCAGTCCATACTGGACTATTTCCTTCTCCTCTTACCGCTGAGTCTGTCCCTCTCCTCCTTTAGAGCACTCCTGGGTTTCTCTGATTCTCACGTACGAGTAGAGCATAAAATGGTATTCAGCCACCCTGTGCTAGTGTGGCCTAGGAGACGGAGGACTGGCCTGGGCCTTGGGAGAGCTGGGCTCTCCACTGGCCTGCGGGGTGACCCTGGGCAAGTCACTTCCCCTCTCTGTGCTTGTCTTCTCGTGCGTAAGGTGGGGACAGTGATGCTGACCTGCTCTGGGAAGCGCTTTGAGATCTGCGGGGAAGAGGCTGTAGAAGAGCTGTGTGGTGTTGTATTACTATTGAGGTAAAATGGTTTCGGAAGGGTCTGACAAAATTCTGTTTTGGTAAGAGACCCTCCTCCCACCTGGGACCTCAGTCTTGTCCTCACTCCGCTCACACAGCCTCCCTTTGAACCCAGGGGAAAATATTCGCTTTTCCATCTTTCTGTCAAGGGAGCTTTTATTATAGCTACTGCTGCAGCTACGGGACTTAATAAGCTGCAAGCCCTTGGGCTGACCTCCCTTTCACAGGACAGAGTGGTCCTTCGTTCTTTATCCAGAGTTTGTGCCCAGGGTGGGAACTGACTTTCACCTAAATCAAACCGTGACTCTGTCAGTAATCTTTTCCAGACTTTACTCTCACCCTAGGGAGTGGAGGCTGGTGGGTGCTAAGAGGGCATTAGTCTTTTATTTAAATGGGTCAAAATAACATAGAAAGTCACCAAGATTCTCTCTGTTTTATGGGGACAGTCACAAGGACCAGGGCATTACATCTCAGTGCCTGTCCAAGTGGATCAGGCTTTGAACTATCACCAGAGTCCCTTATACCTGAGGGACTCAAACCCTTTCAGCCAGAGATAAGGCAAACTCTGGCTTTTTTGACCTGTATCCCAGTAGTTGAGATCTGTAGAGTGCTCCTTGGAGCTCAATCCACACAGTCACAAGACACCACTCAGTAGACGTGGCATCTAGATCGCATGCCCAATATGGCAGAGTGGTACTACACTCTCTCGTCAACTAGTCCTCCTTCTCCCACCATCCTGGGAGGATGCATTGCCTGCTAAGCTCCCACAAGTGGCTGTGTACGGAGGCCACTGGAAGAAAAAATGGAGGATACTCACCAGTAATTTGAGTTTCTTCTAAAGAAGCCTCTACAGATCCATGCTCCCTGCTCAGCCTCCCCACTCCTCAGAGTCCTGTTACCATCTGCTGGGCTCCAGGAATGCGGTGAAAGGAGCAGAGGTGATTGGAGCCTGGTGCCCCCTTCATTGCCTTGTTCCTGGACAGTTCAAAGACACAATGGTGCTGCTGCAGGCACTGCTGGTGCTAGAGGTTCCCCGCAGCCCAGCTGCACCCAGTAGTGGGAACATGCAGAGTTTTCCAGCTGGTGCTAAGTAACCTAACCTGACTTCATTAACTTCATCCTGCCACTGCTGACTCTCCGGAGCGAGCTGGTGTCTCTGCTCCACACGGTGAGAGCCTTGTAGTGTCTTCCTGAAGCATGTGAACACTCCCAGCCCTCAATGGGACTGCGAGAACCAGCAGCAACAAATCAAAACCTCATGGGTCCCGTTCCCCCTCCCCGGAGAAAAGAGGTGCACCCATTCCTATTTCCAATGAGTGAGACATGGCAGGTCGGGGGATAGTGATGGAGCCTCCCAGGCACTGCCCAGGACATGTCTGAAAAGCCCTTACGTTAAAAGGAACTAGAGGTGTGGAAGGGAGGTTTTACCCTCACTCCCTTGTCGCACCACAAGCAGGAGGAGCCAGCCACAGGGAATGAGCCATGAGCACTGCAGCATCCCCACGGAGGAGATTTAAAGGATGCCAAGCGAATGGAAATGAGGTTTTGCTTCTGTGAATCTGCAGCTCTGTGAGAGTAAATTACCCCCTGCTTCCTTTCTGCTCCAGCACGGCTGGTACCAGGCAATTACAATCATTATCTGCTAGAGCAGTACTGAGTGGTGACAGCAGCCAGACCCTTCTCCTTCCCCTTCTGCCATCACAGCCATTCTCCTCCTGTCCACCATCACATGGGCTCATGCTTCTCAACTTGCCACGGCCCAGACACTAGGCAGAACGTGGTGACGAGGATCTGAAACAAGACAGATAAGAAAATGAACCCAGAAAGAAATAGGAATGACGTGAAGTTTTCTTCCCTGTGTAAATAACATTTACCACGGCCTCTTAACGCTCATGATTCAGGGTTTCAGATTTTAGTAATTTTATTACCTTAAAACTGAGCTAATAAGGTGCATCGGGATGCTGGTGAGTGTGTCGCTCTAGAAACACATGCTGTTCTTACTCCAGTCAAATCGCAGAGCTGGGAAGCTCCTGCTGAACAATCCTGTGGCTACTTGGTTGCATCTTTCAGTAATTTTGTTTTGGCTGCATTCATATCCCTTTTGTGTTTGCTTTCCATGGACCTTGTGTTGAGCAAGTTTATTGGCAAGAACGTCACAGAAACGGGGCGTCTGAGAGAATAGCCACAGGGTGTGAATTTTTAACCTTGAACCCAACTATTCATGTTCATCCAATCAGGGAATGGAATCAATACAATGTGACCTGTGAATCCAATCAAACATAACCAGCACCTCTCAGATTTTGGATCTGAAGTATTTGCAGCAAGCTGCTTGCACACAATCTATGGGCTGTCGATTAATAACTAATAAAAAACAAAAAGCATGTGAACTGCTCGCAGGCCATTTCTGAACAACAACAACAACAACAAAAGAGTCTAGGAACATAGGAATTGCCAGTTTGAATCGGACCCGAGGTCCATCTAGTCCAGTGTTTTATCTCTGACAACAACCAGCACCAGATGCTTAAGAGGAAAAGCATAGGAACCCCACAGTAACAGATGTGGTGTAAACTCGTCCCCTCACAGGTCTCATTCTGGTCTCTAATAGTAAGATACTGGCTTAACCCTGAAGCTTGAAGTCTAATATCCCTTCCACACTTTTTGTTCTAATTAATGACAACTCTGGATATTCTTGTGATCCATATAAATGTCCAGTTGCTTTATGAACCTTACGAGGTTATTGGTCTCAATAACATCCTGTGGCCATGAGTTCCACTGTCTAATTACACATTGTGTGAAAAGGTATTTCTTTGTATCAGTTTTGAATTTACCCCCTTTTGGTTTTATTGAATGTCCCCTTGTTCTTTTGTTAGGAGACAGGGAGAACAAAAAGCTCCCAATCTTCCTTCTCTAGACCATTTATTATTTTATATGCTTCTATCATGTCACCTCTTATTAGTCTCCTGGCTAGCTAAACAACTGCAGTCTTTCCAATCTATCCTTCTCTGAACTCTCCCTCCCCCCCCCCCGCCCCTCTAATTCTGCTGTATCCTTCTGAGTGGGGTGACCAGCACTGCACACGCTGTTCAGGTGAGGGAGTACCATTCAGTTTTATGTAATGGCATTATAATACTTTCTCCAGTCTCCATCCCACTCCCTATGCTTTCTAACATCTCTTTTGACCAGCTAAATTAGTGGAATAAATTACTCTCTGAATTATTTACTCCACCATATTAACTAGTTTATGTTAGTAAAGCATTTGGAAGGTATAAGGTACAAGCTAAGTGTTATGTATAAATCTTTTTAAAATTGATTAATCCACTTTATTTGCCTCAATAATATCCTGCAGCAGTGAGTTCCAGGGGTTAGTTATATGCTGCAGAACAAAAAAAAATGCTTTTTTGTTGTTTGAAATGTGCTGCCATTAAAGTCACAGAAGAGAGAACCAAGAGGACAAAGGAACTCTGGGCTTTGGATCAGGCCCAAAGAAAAGCGTTTGGCTTAATTTTAGGGAGGGGATTATGTTTGTGATTTTCAGCTTCAGAGCCACAGATATGGGGCCTGATTCTCAATAGTAAGTTGCAGGGCTGGATTTACACCTTATGCGCCCCTAGGCACAGCATCTTCAGCGCCCCCCCTACACACAGTTTTAGAGAGGTAAGGCGTCCCTAGAATGCCGGCGCCCCTAGGCACGGGCCTGCTGTGCCTAACTGGAGATCCGGCCCTGTTAAGATGTGGAAGGGAAAGCCGGCACCTGTCTAAAGCAAGAGAAGAATCTCTGTGAGCTGGCTGGGGGTGTAACACACTGTCTCTCTTTCCCCAGGTAAACGGCAGTGATGGCATGTTTAAGTATGAGGAGATTGTCCTGGAAAGGGTAAGTGCGATGTTGGTGCTTTCCAACGCGGTGTCACTCTGAGCGCTGTGGGTCACCATGTGGGTTTGCTGTTGCAGGAGAGCAGAGCTCCAGCACAGGCTGACCACTCACAGCTTGAAAAGCAGGATTTTCCCGTGCACTGCCGTCCCCCCAGCAATCTCCCACCCGCTCACCCCGCTGGCCGCCTGACACATGCAGCACACAGGATGCATGGGGTCTCTCACACGTCTGCTCACGCACAAGTAGGTGGAATCTCCCCCCCACACAAGATGGAGAGTAGCTAGGGTCAGACATCAGCAAACAGGCACATGAAGTCAGCTGTACCCTTTTCTGCCCTGTCAGCTCGCTGCGTATCACTTCAAGGTATTAATCACGGTGATATTAACCAGCAGAGACAGGTTTTCTAGTAAACTGGGTTAGAATGGGGGGAATTTCTGCCTGGGCCTTCTCCTTGTCTCTCTGTGAGCCACTGACGACGCAGGGCTGATGGCAGATACTGTACAGACGAGCTAAAATTAGCTCTCACACAGGACCTTGTACGAGGATGAGCTGGGACTTTCAGCAGAACATGTCTCTCTGCCACACATTAATTCCTTACATCCTCTGCACGGGTGAGTCAGGCATTGCTACAGGTCCTGCGTGGGAGGGCAAGCACTCCGTCCTGGAGCCCGTGCTGCGGCGAGCCAGGGAGGGGACTTTCCCTGTGATTCCAGAGGAGCAGTGACAGTGAAGAGAGAAGAGAGGCTGTCCTTGGGCACGGCAGGAAGAGGGCTGGGCAGGCTCAAGGGGAACCGGTTTTCTCAGCTCCCTAGAGCGTCAAACAAAGGGCCAGAATCTGCCCTCAGACATACAGGCAGCTCTGCTGAAGGCCACGGGATCTGCACACCAAGGCCAGAATGGTGAGCTCTATAGCATGGTTGTATTAAACCGCCCCCTTCCCACACCATGAGGGGCTCACCCCAGGCTCCAGGAGCCAGGGCTGGCTCCAGCATTTTTGCCGCCCCAAGCGGTGGGGGAAGCCGCGATCGGCGGCACTTCGCTGCCGCCGCTTTATTCTTTGTCAGCAATTCGGCGGCAGGTCCTTCCCTCCGAGAGGGACTGAGGGACCCGCCGCCGAAGAGCCGGACGAGCCGCCCCTCTCCTTTGGCTGCCCCAAGCACCTGCTTGGTGCGCTGGTGCCTGGAGCCGGCCCTGCCAGGAGCATAAGGATAAGGGCGGAACCCCTGCCTCCCCCCGGCAGAACGATATGTTGCACGTGAGAAAGCAAGTGGCTTATTTTGATGGGTGCTTTTGGCGCTGAGGTGGCCAGGGTGCCAGCTGTGCAGGTCTCTGCACCACAGACCAATGACAAAATGTCCTGATACTCCAAGATACCAGCGAACCCCTGTTCTTCCCACCACCGTTTGCCCAGGGGTTCCTGCGTTCAGGTAAAGCTGGGTTTTGCTCAGTTTTTATAGCATGTCATGGCCTGAGGAGATATACTGGCATTCCGATACCATGTAGGGTCAGGAATGCATAAGACATAGCATCAGGACGTCACCACACAAACTGGGAAGCCACTCCTGGCTCTGGGATAAAGCTGGTGAATGCCAGGCCAGGCTCAGGCTGGCCAGGATAGCAACAGCTTTATGGCCATTGTTTCATTTGCACGGCACCTCCTGGGCAACAGCAGCCAGGTGGGTTTCAGCCCACGGGCCCAGGCAGCCACAGTGAACTGTGTGTCCAGGCTTGGCTGGGACTCACACCTCAATAGTGAGAGGATAGTGAGATTTTCTTGCAGGTGGGTATCCAGCTCACTCCAGGGTAAAGGGATACTTTCTGGTTATTCTTTTGTAGAGACCTTGACTTCCCGGCTCCACCACTTCTCATGAGGGATGCGCACAGGGGCACACTAACATGAGCAGAGTGACACTAATTTGCACAAGTGCCAAGGCAAATCCCATTTTGAGTCCTTGGAGAACTTGTATTGGTCTCGTTAGCTTGTAGACCCAGCAAGGCCAGAGGCTATTTGAGGGTTGCCCACGGCAGCGACCAGTTTCCTGCGTTACAGAGCTACACCCCCGTGAGTCCACAGCAGAGGAAGACTGCTTTTCTTGGCCTGCAGAATCTCCCTCTTCTCCTCCACTTTGTATCTTGGGAGGTTATCCAGGGACGGAGCCTCCATCCACCCGCCCTTCCGCAGCACTTTATGGCTCGGGAGTGAGCTGCGTGGGTGCAGGTAGTGGCACTGCCAATTACACTGAATTAGGCTCCAAAGTGGAGCCGCAGTACAGTAAGTAGGACAGGTCTGAGGTGATTTCCCCTTCTCAGCCATTGCAGAAATCTCTGCCTGGGAACTCTCCAATCTAGGAAGCGCCTTTCTCACTGGCGGGAGCGACAGACTAGCAGGCCCCTAAGAGCCCAGCGCAGTTTAGCAGCCCGTGGGGCACGCGAGCCCTCGCACAGATCAGCAGGTGTTATCACCCTGAATGCCATTTTTGTCAGATTGTCAGTCTGGATGTAGCTGTATGGCGCACAAGAAACCCCCCTTTTCCTGGGCTGACTACTGCCCACTCTAGCCCGAGCTCAAAGGAGGGGGCAGACCCCCATGCCTTGTGACCCTCTCCATAGCATTCAACACCGTCGTCCCTGGAAACATGGCAGGGGCTAGCAGGATTGCACTGAGATCAGGTCGCTTCTTCCTCTCCATCTGCACAGGGACCATGAAGGGCACCTGCTCCTACATCTCCTGAGCCCCCACCCATGGAGCCCCACAAGGACCCTTCTATCTCTCCAACAGCTGTGAGAAGCCACTTGGGGAGATTATGAACAGTGTGGACTGAGGTGCCAGCCGCACAGAGGCGACAGCAGCTTTACATCCCCTTCGCATCAGACAAATAACCCCATCTCCCAGCGCTCCCGGGGCCTGGTGAGATCAGCACTGGCCGAAGCTTAGTCCTGGAGGCACAGGGGTGCTGCTGGTCGGGAGAGTGAGGTACATGGAACTCTCTGCCTCTACAGAGTTATCCTCCAGTGAGCCATCCGCCCTCCCACCCTGGAGACAGTCCACAGCTCTGGTGGCCACCTGGACCTGCACTGCAATTGGAAACCCAGATAACCCAGGCTGTGACGAGCACCCCTTGCCACCCGTCGCTAGCGAGAAGCCTGGCCTGTTCTGCCAGATTCGGACCTAGCCCCAGGGCTCCACCTCTTCCTGACCTCACCTGCTGAGCGCTGTCATTCTAAGCTATTCTAGGACTAGTCTGGCTGCTTCAAAAGCTGCAGCCAGGTCAGAACACAGCAGGAGGTGAGTTGCTCTAGAGGTTCTAGAGAGCAAAGGGCAGATCCTGCCCTGGGGCTGCCCAGGATTTACTGAGTATTGCTCAGTCCTGTTCTCATGAAGTCCCTGACACAAGGCGGCGTGAGCCCGTGGTGGGCGCCGCTACTCCAGCAATAGCCACCGAAGTTCTTCCCTAGCAGGAAGGACAGGAGCTCTCAAGGAGTTTGTTTAGTAAGATTAAAAATCTCTCTCTAAACAACGAGCCTGCAGCCTTTTGGAGAGCCACAGTGCCTCGTGCTCTCACCTGGCGCAGCCCTGGGGCAGGCTGGAGAGTTCTCTGCGCTTGCCGTTGTCTAGGCTGCCAAAGGGAAGTGAAATGGCTCCAAGATATTTTATTTGAGCTAAGTTCTCAGCTCACCGTATGGGTTGCCCCATCATAGTTAGACAATTAATGGTTCAAGTCCTGGGACAATGACCCTATATCTTAGAGCAACCTTCTCCTTTACTAGCACAACTTCCCTGGGGAATGGACTCAAGACAGCAATGAAGGAGGCTCCAGGGGCTAGTAAAGCTCTCCCAAGACTGACCATAAAGCTTCTGGAAGTCAGCCGAAAGGAGGGAGGGTAACCCCAGAGCAGGAGAAGCAGCTTTTCTTGTACTGGAACCAAAGGTTACCTGTCATGTGCCTGCTTGTCAGAGCCAGTTTCCAGCCCACAGAACAGCAACCAGGAGCCTTTCAGAGCGCAGCGGGGAGGAACATTTCAACACCTCCTGCACTACCTTGACATCCTACAAATAATTGGAAATCATATGCAAATGCTATCGTACAGAATTCAGCTGCTCTCCCCCCACCATCTCTCTGCAAGCCAAGGGGGAAAAGAGTGCCTTTTAAATTGGTCTAGAAAATCTACAATGTATGGAAGAGATTAACCCTTTTCCAGGGTAACAGATTTTGCAGCTTCTATTCTCAGTGTAGGATGATACCCAAATGAACAAGAGGAATTTGTTCCGTTTTGGATTGATCTCCCTCAGTCAGATGGGGCTAAGAAAAGCCACATTTTATGAAAAATCTCAATTTTATAATCCACGAGATTGCTAGATCATCTATCGTTCATAGATTTCATACCTCAATCCAGCCAACTCATGTTGGATTCCTTCTATTCATGCTGCACGGAAGCAGTCATTGCTTTTGGTTTTTCTCCAGCATCTTGTGTAGTTTTCAAACAGATTCACTGTGTGAGCTTGGCCAATTCACTTTGTTTCTCGATGCCTCAGTTTCTTCATCTGGGAAATGGGGTAGTCATGGTACGGATACTTACCTCAGGGCTGTTGTGACACAATGCCTATATAGTGCTTTGAGCATGTAGAATCATAGAAGAATCATAGAATATCAGGATTGGAAGGGACCTCAGGAGCTCATCTAGTCCAACCCTCTGCTCAAAGCAGGACCAACCCCAACTAAATCATCCCAGCCAGGGCTTTGTCAAGCCGGGCCTTAAAAACCTCTATGGAAGGAGATTCCACCACCTCCCTAGGTAACCCATTCCAGTGCTTCACCACCCTCCTAGTGAAATAGTGTTTCCTAATATCCAACCTAGACCTCCCCCACTGCAACTTGAGACCATTGCTCCTTGATCTGTCATCTGCCACCACTGAGAATAGCCGAGCTCCATCCGCTTTGGAACCCCCCTTCAGGTAGCTGAAAGCAGCTATCAAATCCCCCCTCATTCTTCTCTTCTGCAGACTAAATAAGCCATATGATGGGTTTGTTGTAATGTCAGAGAAGTGTTCACTGCCTGTCTGAAGAGCTGATACATGGGATGAACCTCATTGTTTAGAGTGGGAAGAAGAAGACGAATCTCAGAGGACTACATCACGAAAACTAAAGAGCAGCTGGTACAGCTCACATGGAATCTCCAGGCTGTTTGCAAACTCTCAGCTCCGGGGTTGTATTCAAAACCCTGGGCTCTGTTCCACTTACGTTTCTTGGCTTATTGGCATCCCCCAGACAAGGGTATATCTAATCCTCTGAGTGTTCCTGTCCATCTCACCAGCTCTCTTCACAAGTGATTCTCCAAGCCCAGCTGTTTAAGGGGAGACCTCTAGCAGACAACGCCAGTGCTCGTCTGACATCGATGGGATCCATCCGAGGGGCTGAGCACACAATCACCGCATTGATCAGACACAGTTCTCTAGGGTCCTGGGCCACAGAGGTGACCCAGAGCTCGAGGTCTCCCTTATGAGAAAGTCATGAGGGGGCGAGACAACAAGGTGTCAGCCTTTCTGTATGAGGAGACAAGGAGAAAATGTGCTTTCCCAAGGCAGAACAACAAAACCAGGTGGTCTTTTCCACTTCAACCCCGTGTAGGAGAATGGAAACGTAATCCGAAGGCCTGTCACTAAACGAGAGCCGTGCACACGGGCTTGCGACACAGAGGGATGGGGTGTGGGCAGCAGATGCCTTTGGCACTAGGATATGGCAGGGAGGGGTGCAGCGTTCAGCACCGCCCGCATGGTTTCTCACCAAGAAAGGACAATGCCCAGGTCGCTTGGTTTCGGTGTCAGAAAGGAGGATTCTGCACCGTCCCTGCTCTTGCCCCAGGCCCATACTAGAGCTGTGTGTACACCTGGCCATTCCAGAGTTCTCTGTCATTCCTACTCTGACACAGAGACCGGGGGCCTGTTCTCCACCTGTTCACACCCGTGTGCCTCAGGAATAACTCTGCCAAAGTCAGTAGTTACCCCAGTGTAAACTGGCGCATCTGAGAAAATCAGAGTCCAAACACCACATTTCTGGAGCTCTTCAGGGAGCGCGCACACTTTCCTCTGGGATCTAGAGACTGACAGAGGGAGGTGGGGATGCCAGGGGAGGTCTCTGTGAGGTCTTTGCCTAGCACTGGCTCTGTGCTGAGCCCCTGTGCAGGTGTTTTCTCCTGGGAGGCCCAGGAGATTCCCCGTGTCATCGGATCAGACACGTTGGTACCAGCACAAGCCGTGGTTCTCTCCCCTGGCAGACATTGGGATGCTGGCACTGGTGGTAGCTTTACCCCGGCTCAGGCTGTCAGCAGAGACGTGGCTCCTGGGAGGGAGAGCTTTGGCTCTTGCTGCTCCACCTTCTCAGCACGCCTTGCTGGAGTATCAGAGCCCCTCAGGCCGCGTGCATGAGCCTCTGTAAACCACTGTGCGACTCCTCTCAGCCTGCCGGAGAGCCAGGGAGACCCGGATGAACCCAGATTCTGCAGGCGCTACTGTGCCATCCTGAGAGTTGCTGGTCTGAGAGGGTTTCACTGGCATGGCACCATCAGAGAGGGGAGGGCGGTGCCTTAATTCAGCCGCTGGCCTGGGGGGTGTACAAGCACCTAGGGAGCAAGTTCCCTCCTCAGAAAGGCTCCCTGTGTTTTGCTTTTCCCCAGGGTAACTCTGGCCTTGGCTTCAGCATTGCAGGGGGAATTGATAATCCCCATGTTCCTGATGATCCAGGGATTTTTATCACAAAAATCATCCCTGGTGGAGCTGCAGCGATGGATGGCCGCCTAGGGTGAGTACCCGAAAACTGCTGGCCTGGCCTGAGCACGATGAGTGGGGTCACTTGGCAGCAGCTCGTCCTGGCTTTACTGCTGCCCAGGTCGGTGTTCATGGCGCTCGCTTTCCCAAGCCCAGCGGCTAGGCACAGGGTTAGCGCGCAGGGCTTTCCAGCAGTGCGGAACAGGCTCTCCCATGCAATGAGTTAGCGAGTCTCAGCTGAGTCAGAGAATTTGTTCACCTGGCTTGGTACATTTGGCAGCTTCTCCTCACGGGAGGCCCCTGCCAGGAGTAGCATGGCACCTCGGCATCCGGACCAGGGGCTCAGTAGCACTCGGAGGTGCTGTGGGGAAGCCTGTAGCTGGGACAGCCGGGAGCTGCAGGTTGAAACTGGGAGGAGTTGGCAGAGGTCTGTGTGTGCGGAGCTTTTGAGTAGCAGGGTGGTGCTGGCAGTACAAGGAGAGGGGCTGGATTCCTCGTGGGGAGAATGGGGTAATGGGCTACGTCGAGGGTGATTTGGGACAAGAGAATTTGGGGACTGGTTTCCTTGCCTATTCTCTTTATCTCCCCCTTTACCACCAATGAGTCATCAGACCCCCTACCCCTCTCTCCGTGTCAGGGATCTGCCATGCTTCCCTGTCCCCGAGCTGAGGGGTCTCTCTCACCCCTCTGTCATGCTGAGGGATCCCCTTCCTGCAGGACCTCCACTCACTGCAGGTGGCGCCTCCTCCTGGCCGCTCTGGGGATTAGCTCTTTGCAGGTCCAAGGCCTCCTTCTGCTGCTTATTGCACATCCTGCAGCCGCTCTCTCCAGCAGGCTTAGGCAGGCTTCCCATTCACTGACCCATGGTGCCACTTCCCCAGCGGAACCCGGGCCTGCCCTCTGCTCCGGATTCCAGCTCAGGGACCCTCTGATCAGCAGCCAAGGTCTGCACGATCCCGAACCTTGCCGCCTTTTCCCTGAGACTTTCCTGGTCCTTCTGGCTCCCCGCACCAGGTCTGCCAGCCCTAACTCCCTTCCCCCAGGGAGTGACTGCTGACTGCTTCCCTGCAGCCCCTCTCTGCTAGCAGCTCCCTGGCTTTCTAGAAGTCCCACCTGCTCCCACACAGGTGAGCTTCCCCTAATTAGGGCTTTCTTCTCAGCCTGATAGGTTA